ATAAAGCTCTTAAAGTTCAAAACTTCTTCCTCTCCCTTTATACTTACCACAAACTACACAATTTCCTGAGAGGATTCATTACAGGAAAAACGTCAATCACAGCTTTAATAACTTACTTTGGAAGGAACTAATGGGAAAGCAAATTGGAAGGTGAGATTTCATCTTTGTTTTCAAATAAGTGGTCTTAATTTGTCTTCTTATAGAAAAAGTTTAAATCAGTTTATTATAAATATACCTAAACCATTAATTTTTGCAACTTTCAGGTAAAGTCCAGCACTTCGTTTATGCAAAGTCCATGAGAAGAGGTCAGGTCAGGAAAGATCATCTAATCTTAAGTCGTGACATCATCCATTCAAGTCCTTGGCACAATCCTTCACCAGCAAGAGCGCAGCATGCCTGGATATGCCACTGCTGATCTTTGATAGAAGTTAGCTTCAAAAACTGGGAGATTTCTGCTACAATCATGCATTCTTTAACATCTTGTTTATTAGCAAAAATCAGCAATCCAGCTTTCCTTAGGTCCTCATGTGCTAACATTTTATAGAGTTCTTCTCTAGTTACAGAAATCCTCTCTCTGTCGGTACTGTCCACAACAACTATTACAAACTCTGTGTTAGTATAGTAAGTGTTCCAGGAAGAACGAAGAGATTCTTGGCCACCAATATCCCACATTAGGAAGCGTGTATTATTAATCACTATCTCCTCTACATTACTTCCTATTGTAGGGGATGTATGTACAACTTCATTCATAGAAAATTGGTAAAGTATAGTAGTTTTCCCTGCATTATCCAACCCAACAATGATAACTTTGTGCTCCTGGATTGAACAGTCTCCATATCCTGGGGAAGAGAATTCCCATTCTCGGACAGCGGACCCCCCTCCTCCCCGGGCCGCCAGGCCTCCCCTGGCTCAGGCTGAGGCGGAGGAGAGAGACGCGCTGGAGTCTCCGCCTCGGCTGCTACTCCCGCGCTGGCCGCCGGCCGCTTCCAGGGAACCGGAGAGAGGCCGAAGCCCAGGCCGCCCTTGCACGCGTGAGGCCCCGCCGCTGCCGCCGCGGCATTCACCTGGCTCGCGGACATCGCCCCGCGTTGTCTGCGTCGAGCCTCGCGGGCCACCCCATGGTAACATTTTTTGTTGTTGTTGTTGTTGTTGTTGTTGTTTTATTTCAAGTTAATTTGAGGGTACAAAGAAATAGGTTACAATGTTTGCATTTGTTAGGTATAGTCCCTGTTGTAGCTGTGTCCTGCTCCCAGGAGGTGTGCTATATAACCCCTCATTGTGAGAGTACACCAATCCTCCTCCCTCCTCTCCTCTCTCTTTCTCTCCTTCCCTCTCCCTCCATCTTGAATTGAATTGAATTTTTCTCTTATGTGAGTATGTAATAGATTGTCTAGTGGCTTCACATTGAGTATATTAGATAATTGTTTTTCCATTCTTGTTATACTTTACTAAGAAGATGTGTTTCAGCTCCATCCATGTTAATACAAAAGACATAGGGGGTTATTTTTGTTTTTCTTTTTTTATTTGTTTTTTGAGACAGAGTCTCACTCTGTCACCCAGGCTAGAGTGCAGTGACATCATCATAGCTGACTGCAGGCTCAGATTCCTGAGTTCAAGACATCCTCCTGCCAATATTTCTACACTGCTGATGGAACTGCAAACTAATACAACCCTTTTGGAAGGAATTATGGAGAATCCTCTAAGAACTCAAACTAGATCTCCCATTTGATCCTGCAAACCCATTACTGGGCATCTACCCAAGAAGAAAAAAAAAATAATTCTATCATAAGGACATTTGCACTAGACTGTTTATTGCAGCTCAATATACAATTGCCAATTGCGGAAACAACCAAAATGCCCACCAATCCAGGAATGGATTAACAAGCTGTGGTATATTATACCATAGAATACTATTCAGCCATTAAAAAGATGGTGACTTTACATCTTTTGCATTAATTTAGATAGAGTTGAAATACATTCTTCTTAGTAAAACATCATAAGAATGGAGAAGCAAAAATCCAATGTACTCAATTCTGATATGAGGACAACTGATGCTAGTACAAGGTGAGGGGATGGAATGGGGAAACAGAGAGAGGGAAGGAGGGAGGGGGTGGGAGCCACTGTATGTGACACACCTCTTAGGGGCAGGACACTATTATTTGAGGGACTTTATCCAGCAAATGCAAGCAGTGTAACCTGGTTTTTATACCCTCAGTGATTCCCCAACAATAAAAAAAAAACTTTGTTGTTGTTGTTGAGATAGAGTCTCACTTGGTCACTCTTGGTAGAGTGCCATGGCATCTTTGCTCACAGCAACCTCAGCCTCCCAAGTAGCTGGGACTACAGACACCCACCACAACACCCGGCTATTTTTTAGAGATGGGGTCTCACTCTGGCTGGGGCTGGTCTC